CCGTAGATTAAGCATGAAAAAGCAACTTTTATAAATAATATAGGATCCATTAATAAATATATATATATATATATATGCTCATGTATTTATTTGGAAAAGCTCGCTCAGTTAACAAGCCTTGGTGTAGTTTTGACTTGCGAGCAGACGGCTCCACAACGTTGATGGGACGTCTCCCTTGCTCTGAATAAATCCGCCATCCGAATTATTAACGTCGCGACATGGCAGAGTTAAGCCGAGTTCAGTTCTGCCTCCCCGCTTGCTCGCTCTCTCGGACTCTGCTTGTCTTTTACGCCAGTACTCCCTGCTCATCGCTGCCTGTGTACTACTTTTTACCTGCCTCCGTTGTCCTGTTGCTCTGCAACGTTGCCGGGGCACGTCGCGCGGTCCCTAATTAATGGAAGTTGACCGAGCTGCTGCTACCGTGCACTGCCTGCACGTGGTTCTGTCCCGCATCGCGCCGATGAAGGTGATGTCTCCCTCTCTCACGTCTGCCTTCCATGTCTCCGTAGATTGTCGTGTTTGCCTTGGTTGTCTGTCATGCGTTCGCGTACGACATTGCCTCCTTGGCGTTGCTTTTTCCTTCTTTTTCTACGCTGCTGCCGTGCCACCGTCGCCCTATCTCCACGGCCACGCGCACGCCTCCACCTTGCTCCCAACGCTGCACCACCGCACCGCTCCAGCGCCGGTCCTCCCTGCTGCCCCCACGCGTCTCCTCCTTTTCCTCCCTGCGTCGCCGTGGCACACCTCGCTGCCCGTGCTACCGCAGTCGCCGGCGCCCTCCTCGGTTCCTCGCCACCGTCAGCTTGCAGTGCGCCTGTGGTCGACGATGGGCCTCCATCTTTGGACCATGTCCCGCAGAGCCATTGCTCGTCCCCTCTCCTTTCCCTTCCGCCTCGATGCGCGTGGCTGTGGCGCCCATGCCTAGTTGCCTACCGCACGCAACTGCGCCAGCCGCCATTGCCGCCGTCGACCGAGCACCACTCGCACGCCTTCCTTCGCCGTCGTTCTCCTTCCCCGCATCGTGTGTGCGACCGTCAGGGCCGTACCCGAGCCGCGAAGCACCTCCCTGCTCCTCGGCCGCCCGCGCTCGGCCGTGCCGCAGTGTCCTGCCATGGCTGCCCGTCGTGCCGGCTCTCTCCCACGCGTGCGAGCTCCTTGCCACGCACCGAGCCGTGCGCGGCACCTGCTGCCCCTCCGGGACCCGCACCGGCGCTCCCACGCTGCGTCCCCATGCCGGACTGCGGTCCCGCAGCGGCCCCGCCGTCATCCGCTTCCGCCGCCGCGTGTGCGAGCACGCTTTGCCGCCGGTGTCGTGGAGCTTGCTGAGCCATGGCCACCACCGCCCAGCCGCGCACTCCCTTCCCCACGCACGCGCACACCACCGTTGTGCGACCACACGCCTGGATGCACCGTCCCGTCGCCGGCTGGTGATTTACCCCATCAGTGCTCTACTTTTGGGGATGACAAGAGGGACCCCGGGGTAAGAAATGAGTAATTCCTGGGTGATTTCTACGAATTGGATGACTCGTAGGAACAATAGCGTAACAAATAGTTAGAAACGTAGGGATGTTTTTACTAAACAGCGGTCACGTTGGGCTAGCAGCACAGGGCATGATCTGGCGCTTGGGCCGACTTGGTGCTTCTGGGCGCGCGCTGCTACCTGGACCCGATTGCCATTCATTGGACCGTTGGCATGGCGCCCGTCTGAGCCATCGGTCACGCGGTTACGCTTGGCCACGCCGGACGCGCCATGGCCGCGTGCCGCCTGGGCCGGCTGGTCACGCGACCCTACTGGGCCACCGCCGCGTTGCGCTGGGCCGCGCACTGCGCGTGCCCGCCCGCTTGGAGGCCTCGCCGCTGGACCATGCCGACCGAGTCGCTGGGTCGGTTGATGACCCTGGCCTTTAATTTCTCAAACAAGTAGCTAATTTAGTTCAGGAATAAAAATGGTAAAATCAATATACATTAGTGTAGTTGTCCAAAAATTATGAAACCAATTTTGTTGAGTCTCTAAAATCAGGATCTACCTATTAGTGTAATTCGTTCACATAGTTTGATGATATTTTTAGGAGTTATATAATTAAATTGGGATACTTAATATTGTAAAAATATAACTTATATGAATTGTTGGGATAAATCGGCGATATTGTTGAATCTGAAATTTGTACAGTAGGTTCTTAGCAATATTAGGTACTCGTGGTAATTTTTGTAGCTCCAGAATAATCAGTTGGCTAGGTAGCTAATGATGCTTTATTTCGAATAAGGATTAATCGATGGAATAAAAAAAAGAAACACCTTGGCTTATATAACTAAAGTAATTATTGGAAAATAACGTCTTATTCGACAACTTGTATATGTAGCATAAGTACGGTCGTCGTTAGAACTAGCCCGTTAACTCGAGAGGCGTACGTCGTATTTTACAAGTCACGATTGCAGTTGATTAATTACATCTTTGCATTGCATCGCATGCATATCATATAGGTATGATGATGGATCAATGGATCAATTGAAGGATGATTGTGAATCCGAAGATGGTGTAATGGTATTCTCTCTAGAAGATGATGCAATGGGCTTTCTATCCAGATGATTGTGGATGATCTGAAGACGCATATACTAACTTTTTAATATATATCTTACCCAGGCAAGCCCTGGTGCATAATCCATACTTTCTACAGTTTAAATTATGTTTGTGCATTAAGTTTTAAAGAGTTGAATGAAACCCACCTGCATATATATTTTTATCTTATGAGTCTTACTAGTATGACAGGATCGTGTAGATTGGTATGCTACAGGACTTCGATAGAAATTGAGTGATTGCCTGTCACTCGCGAGAGATAGAAAATATATTACTGTATGATTATTACTTGAAAAATATAAATGATGGAAATAAAAATGGTGACCGGACAGGGATATGGTTTGGGTATTGGTGGATGTAAAAAGTTATGTCGCCGTGGACACGGGGCATAGCTTGGTTACACTGCTTTTCCTGTCTGGTCGGTTAAGGACTGTTCGTTGCATAAGACTCTAGGCAGGTCACATACTTATTATCCCGAGCACATACTTGTGTATGGGCGCTTGGAAGACTTGTTGCTCTCTTGTCGCAGATCCGGCTCTTTCCGGACCGACTGTCAGGGTTTCTTTTGGTGGAGGAGGTCCTTGCACCGCACTGAGTCCGGGACTCAGGGGCGGGGGCTTGGAGTCCCAGTTTGGACGGAGACCTGTACACCCGGGACAGGAGAGTAATGGGTTGGTCCTGCTTGTGCCTGGGGTACAAGCGGGGCGTGTGTTTTCAGGGTACCCAGCTAGGAGCATTGATTCACGAATCGCCGGGCGATCCGGTACGACTTGTCTATGGTTTAGCATCGTAGTAAAAACTAAAAGATAGAAGATGGACAAAGGAAATCTGATTGCTTACCACATGCTTGAAAGTAGAACAGGTGCTTATATAGAATGGTTAATTAATGAACTAATGCGACTATTAATAAAAATCGAATATAAGGACGCAGCTTAGTAATGCTTGCTGCAAATACAATAAACCCACATGCTAGATAGCCTTGCATATCCTTGGAGTCTTTTTCTTTCTCCTATCGGGTAAGTCTTGCTGAGTATAATTGAGTACTCAGGGTTTTATTCATCCTGTGGCAGGTGACAGGTGGATGCTAAAGCTGACTCTTGTGTGTGGATACCTCCTGGTGGGCTCAGCGAGGATTCCTTTCGCTGCGATCGTAGTTGTTATTTATAACTCTCACCAAATGCTTTTATAAATAAAAGTTTCATAATCTGTTGTCGCAGTTTATACATCAATACTTCATCATGTCATTAATAGATGTTTATTTACGCTGTAATTCTGATCACATGTTTATATTTCACTGTTCAATTAACTTGTTCATAACTCTGATAATATGCTTTCATTCCGCTGTTATAATAATAAATATTATACTATAATATTGTATTAAAAGTGATGTGAGAAATGGTTATGAATGATGTAAGCTTTATTTTCTCATTTGTGATCCTGATGGTAAAAATGTGGATTTTCGGGTTCTCCCCTGGGGTGTGCCCGACGGAACTGAGTAATTTAGTGTTCTTCCTCGAGTGCTTAGTGTCTAATGGAAGATAATCACTCCTGTGAGGCATTAGATTAGGCGGTTCTACCACATATTCTATTTCAAATTTCTCGCTAGCCAATGATAAACACGAGAAAGACTCTCTGAAGTGCACACAAGATATAGAAAAAATTGTTGAAGAGCGAAAAGACATAGAAAGCGAGTTTTATGGAAATAACATTATAACTGATGATTTAGAGAGTGGACTTCAAAAAACTTTTGGAGATGCTCTAAATAATAAAATATATTTCAAGTCAAATAGATTTGTTACTAGATAAGGTCACGTTTAAATTCACCCAACTAACTATTTTTTTTATCTCTACCCAACTACAATAACTATTAGTTGTGTTAGCTCAAAAATCATTATTAGCAAATTGTTATTTGTTAATTAGATGATAGGTAAGACGTTAACTAATAAGAATCCAAACAAACCTCTTAGCCGTGAGGGATTTAAATTGACGTTAAGAGACAGTTAGAGGCGCCATACTAAACGTTTTAGAAGGAGCCGTTTTATAATGAATAGTAAAGGAGCCGGAGCTATTTTTATGCCATGAACCGGAGCTGCAATGTGGCTCCTTCTCAAGTGCTCCGAACGAAACCCCCGCTAAACAGGCCCTAATTTTTATAGAAGTTAGTTATAAATGGTTCTTTACTAATGGTCTAATTTCAACCAATCAAGACAGTGTAATCAAGAAATTGGAAATGCAGTGCAAATTGTTGTTTCGACGGGTAGTTGGCTACTCTCCTGGACACAAGACCAAAAAAAGAAAAAAGAAAAAACGATGCCAACTTTAGGCGCTGCCCGTCACTCAAGGACTCAAGGTCCAAGGAGAGCAAAAATCTCTCGTTTTTTCTTCACGCATCCTTTGGCGCTAAAAAAAGAAACCAAGAAACGCCATGGCTGATTCCTCTGCCGACACGGACCATAGCCATCGCGACGGAAAGCACCGGCGATCGCACCTCCACCACCTGAATGTCCAGGTCCCTCCCGTGACCAGCAACATTGGCTGCTTCGTCGGCTGTTTCCGCCCGTCCCCAACATCGTCTTCCCCCGTCGCGCACGGCATCAGCTGCCTCGGACACGGACACGGGCACGGGCACGCAGACCGGCCGGCGTCCCCGTCTCTGATCCGGTCGCCATCGGCGTGGATCAAGGCAAAGGGCCAGAGCCTCGGGTCTGGCAGGCACGTGCGTCGCCGGTCCCGGGACTTCCAGTACGACGCCCTCAGCTACGCGCGTAACTTCGACGAGGGAGGCACGGACGGCGAGGGCGAGGAGGAGGCCAGGCTTGCAGCGAGCGACGCGCTCAAGCACCGGTGCTTCACGTCCAGGCTCCCCACGTCGCCACCGCCCGAGTCCCCGTCGGGGATGGCCACCAGCGGCAATGGCAAGGCAGTGGAGCAGCGCGAAACAGGCCGTGATGATTTGGAATGAAACGATTGCATCGGAGCTTTCGCTTTACATTTCACATCGGCTCTTTTTTCTTAGGCTGCTAGGTCTTTCTTCGCAAGCATTTCCCGATGGCCTGAGATGGCCTGGATGGTGAAGTTTTCAATCCCATAGAGATGCGCTAATCAGCGTTTGCTTTTGTTTCATTTGTTTACGTTGTTGTAATGCACTGTACTTTGTAACATGTTCTTCGAGTGGATACGTTGTTGTAATGCAACTGTCCTATGAAACATGTTCTTAGAAATTAGAATGGATGGACATGGGTATAGCTAGCAGCAATGCCTTTTTGTTTCCTTCACCAACAATAAATGAAGTACATGGAAGACAACATACTAAATCCGTTTCAAATTATAATTCATTTGACTTTTTTGACCTTGGAATAAGACAAGTAGTCAAACTTGGGGTAAAAAAAATTCAAACGAATTATAATTTAGAACGGAGCGAGTAGACAATAGGCATGTTTGGTTTACGACCAAAATTTGATATGCTAAAGATTTGGCAAGTAAATTTTAGGCAAAAAGATTTACTATAGATTTAGCAAGTCAAATGTGAAACCATGACTTGTGATCATTAGCTTGGCATTTTTTTTCGAGAATTACACAGTACAACGTCGACACCGATCACACGCACACACACTCACCCCTATGGACACATGTATATAAACCCTACCCCTATGAGTACAACCGAAGGACTGAGCCGACAGATCTCAAGATTCACGAAAATCACCACAGGCGCCTCGCTATCGACGGGGACGTCGCCAGCCAGTGAAAGTATAGTGTCGTTAAATCCTATAATAAATTTAGGAAAATACGAGCACTTGTGCCAAGTCAAAGACTTAAATCTTGATGGGCATGTTCTATCACAAGAACCCAACTAACTAATCTATGATCAGTTATCTTGATATTTTTTTTAAAGCAAATCCAACAGGTCCAATACTCCAATGTGATCTAAAATTTCTTATTTACATGCTCCATTAATTTTCTTCCATTTTTCCACCAAACCTGCACCTTGCTTTTGGCGTGGGCCAGTAACGGACTCGCGGCCCATGGGCGAGGGGTCCGCGCGACCATCCGCGCGGTAACGTTTTTGTATTCCCAAGGCCCAAGCCCAAGAACAAACAACCACCGGTCCCACAGGTCCACGCGCGCCCGTTCCGATTCCGAAGGCAAGGACGTGTACGCGGCGGCGAGACGAGGAGCCAACCCAACGGCGACGAGAAATCCACGGCGGCTAGTTCACCCGATCCGGCGCGCGCGACTCCCTCCGCCTCGACCAAAACCGAGGGCGTTTTCGTGCCCCCTTCTCCAAACTCCGGAGTCCGGAGCCCACCTCCTCCTCCACTCCCCACTCACTTGTACCACACCCCACCCCCGCTCCCCAAAACCCTAGGTCCTTCGATCTAATGCCGTGACCTCTCGAATTCCCAATTCCCGCAGCCTCGCCATGGAAGACCCCGTGGCAGCCCCCTCCTCGTCCTCCACCGCCCCTGCCGCTGCCGCAGCGGCTAGGGTTCCGGCAGCGGCGGCGGCAGCCCCTGCCGTTACCTCTGCGCCGCCCGCTCTCGCTCCGCCGCAGCCACCTGCCACCGCCGCGGCCGCGTGCCGGAGGCAGCTGTTCACGGTGGAGCTGCGGCCAGGGGAGACCACCATCGTGTCGTGGAAGAAGCTTCTCAAGGAGGCCGGGCACACCGCCGTGGCACCGCCAGTGAAGCCGGAGCCAGCGTTCGCTGCACATGCGGGCCCATCTGGTGCGGTAAGCAGTCATTTTGCGGTTGTTGCGTGTTGGTTGGCTACCTGCTGCATCGCCATCGCTGTAATTTGTGCGCTACCTATCTTTTAGCTTTTTGAGTAGATGAAAATAGAAGGATTCTAAGATCCACGTGAGGGCAGTTTTGGTAGGTAGCAACATGTCCATCCCTCATAAAAGCATACCTTTAGGGAACCTGTTTGTAGTGATGACGATGACAACATCGATGTTCTTAATTACTATATGAACACAGTGTGGTTGTATTCTGTTGTTCGGGTTGAGCTATGTATATTTTTGTATGTTATTAGGTGCTTGTGCTGTATCTTCCAGAGATGTTCTGCAGTGAGTATTAGTTCCTCTCTCTTGTAACCTGCCAAAACCTTGAAAGCCTATATGCCCAAATCAATGAAATCTCATCCTGGTGGATTGTTGTACATGTTCATGCCAAAACCTTGTCATTCTTGAACATGATGCTCTCAGCATTCAGTATTTCAGTGTGAAAAGTATGTTAAAATTTTGGAATCCACTGAATTGCTTGACATTCAAGAAATGCTGTATTTAACATCTACTAGTTTATTTTATCATTTGAATCAGGCACATCCTGCAGAAAATGACCCAAAGGATCCAACGCAGCCAAATCGGTTCAACGCAGTCATTGAAAAAATTGAGCGCCTTTACATGGTATACTAAACACCATGTTGCATTTGATCCCATGTTCACCATGGATGATGTTTTGACTCCATGTACAAATTGCCAGGGAAAACATAGCAGCGATGAAGAGGATCTTAATGATGTGCCAGATGATGATCAGTATGACACTGAGGATTCTTTCATTGATGATGCCGAATTGGTTAGTTATATTCAAACTTTTGTTTCTTTTGTCTACATGAGTTTAGTTTGTTGCTTCTGGATCATTTTCTGGTCTCAGCTTTATGCTTATTAAATCGGGCGCCTTAAACTGACTTGATTTTGATGGGATAAGTCTCTGTGGTCTTTGTGGGGCTGCAACAGTAGCATCTTGACTGAGAGGACAGCATCCTTGCAGCTGTCTTGACTGAGAGGACAGCAGCAGCATCTTAGCTAGGACAACATCTTAGGACAGCATTCTTAGAGGACAACATATTAGCATCTTGACATATGCTTGGCTGGCTAGCAGCCTATAAATATGTATCCCCAACCCTTCAGGTTGGCATGGCATTTGTGTGAGTTTGTGTGAGAAATAAACTAGAAAAATTGCCCCAACTCCTATTGTTATCCTCTCTCGATGAGATTTAGAATTCTGTTACTACCAATAGTGAGAATTCAGTGACTAATAAGTGGTATCGAGTCAGTACTATCTCAGTAGCTTTGTGCATCTCTCGCTTCATCTCCTTCTCACCACTACTAACACCCAGTGCGGCGAAAGCAAAGAAGCAGCTCCGTCATCGCCTCTGCTCACCCCTACCCCTCTGCGCCTCTGGCAGCCCTCTCCCACGCATGCCCCCCCAGAGCGCGTCATGTCCATGAGGGCACTCTCTCGGCGCTTCGAGCACGCCTCGGCTCAGCAGGAGGTCAACTTTGCGTCGGCAGAGAGAACGAACTTGCTGAGCGAGGAGAGACATGGCAGCAGAGCGCAGTGGCGGCGGCAAAAAGCGCCGAGGTCGGCAATGGTAGAGCGGCAAAGGCGAGCAGGCAGAGGCGGAAGCGGCGGCGGCGCGCGAATGCGGCGCGGGTCAGCTGCAATGGAGGTCGAGGCTCTGCGCGGCAAAGATCAGCAGCTCCATTTTGCGACGACACCGCCGACGCGGACCTCGAAGCGCGCTAGAGAGGGAGGCAAGCGGCGAAGCGCCTTGGCGGCAGGCGAATAAGGCCGCGACGCCCACAAGCGTGGCGCGGCGGCATCGACAGCGCGGACGCGGCTGGGCGGCGCTCTCGAGGAGGCGCAAGACGGCGGTGGCGCTCTGGCAGGGCAAGACACGCCACGAGCGTGGCGGCGGCCAGATAGCGGACGCGCTGGCGGCGCTCTGGAGGAGGGCGCGACGGCGGCGGTGGTGCTCTGGAGGAGGCACGACGCAACATGATGGCGGACGGGTCGATGGAGAGCGCGGCCTTCACAGTAACGTGGGCTCTCTCCCGGATCGAGACCGACGGGTCGATGGAGAGCACGGCCTTCACAGCGGCGTGGTTCTCTCTCCCGGATCGATGCACCGTGGTTACCACGGGCTCCAGTCGTTGTCGGGGACGTTGGTCCCGACGGTGGGTGGCCTACCCTCACTAAGACCAACTACGCCGAGTGGGCTGCGGTGATGAGGGTAAAGCTCCAGGTGCGGCACATGTGGGAGGCAGTCCGGTACGGCGACGTCGACTACGACCTAGATCGACGGGCGCTGGATGCCCTCATCGCCATCTGATCCCGCCCGAGATGCGATTTTCGCTACCAATAAGCGGATCGCCAAGGAGGCTTGGGACGCCATCGCCGCAAGACGACGCGGCAATGACCGCGCGCAGAAGTCCACTGCGCAGCACTTCGCAAGGAGTGGAGAACACGCCACGTTGATGACTTTGCTCTCCGTCTCAACACTCTGTTGCAGAAGATGGTGCAGTTTGGCGATGACACCTACGGCGAGGAGAGAGCTGTCGAAAAGCTCTTCGCTGCGTCCGCGAGAAGTACAAGCAGATGGCTCGTTCGATGCTGGATCTCTCCACGATGTCGATCGACGAGGCGATAGGTCGCCTCAAGGTCGCCGACAAATGATGAGCCACGATCTCTCGGGGCCCATCACCACCGGTGGGAAGCTCCTTTCACTCGGGAGCAGTGGCTTGCCAGCCAAGGTGACCGGCCTTCTTCCGCGACAGGCGGCCGCAAGCGTGGCAAACCGCGCAAGGCACGCAGAGACGCCTGTGCCGGGCGTGAGGACGTGACGAGGTGATGCCCGCGAGGCGCCAGGCGGCGCCCGCCGGCAGCAAAGCCGCAAGACGAGCGGCGCCGCCGCAAAGCGGCGGCGGCTTTGGCCATTGGGCCAAGGATCGTCGATACCACGACGCAGCCAGCCCACGTCAGACAAAGTGAGGAGGAGGAGCGGCTCTGTTCATGGCACATGCAAGCATCGAGCTACCTCACGGTGACCGCCGCGCGTTGCTCTCCACCTTGACGAGCCAAAAGCACACGCCCTCCTTGGCAAGCAGCCCGCAGCGACAAGATCGACGGGTGGTGCCTCGACACCGGCGCCACCCATCACATGACCGGTCGACGGAGTTCT